GTGAGTTGGTACAGCCCGGGGGGGGGGGGGTGACTACAAGCTGGACCAGGTCAGCAAGGGCTACGACGCCCCCCTCTGTAACTGGTGAGTTGGTACAGCCCCAGGGGGGGGGGGAGGGGGGTGATTGAGTGGTGGTGGAGGTGGGTAACTACCTGGACCAGGTCAGACAGGGATTAGACACCCCCCTCTGTAACTGGTGAGTTGGTACAGGCCAATAACTTGCACAGAGACCCATAGACTTGCACAAAGACCCAAACTTGCACAGAGACCCATAGACTCATAGAGACACATATACTCATACACAGACTGATAGACTCACACAGAGGCCCATAGACTCACGCAGAGACCCACAGACTCACGCAGAGACCAATAGACTCACGCAGAGACCCACAGACTCGCACAGAGACCCAAAGACTTACACTTAGACCCACAGACTCACACAGAGACCCACAGACTCGCACAGAGACTCACAGACTCGCACAGAGACCCACAGACTCGCACAGAGACCCACAGACGCACGCAGAGACCCACAGACTTACACTTAGACCCACAGACTCACACAGAGACCCACAGACTCGCACAGAGACTCACAGACTCACACAGAGACCCACAGACTCGCACAGAGACCCACAGACGCACGCAGAGACCCACAGACTCGCACAGAGACCCACAGACTCACACATAGACCCACAGACTCACACAGAGACCCACAGACTCACAGACTCACAGAGACCCACAGACTCACACAGAGACCCACAGACTCACACAGAGACCCATAGACTCACACAGAGACTCACAGGCTCACACAGAGACCCAGAGACTCACACAGAGACTCACAGACTCACACAAAGACCCATAGACTCACGCAGAGACCCACAGACTCACGCAGAGACCCACAGACTCACACATAGACCCACAGACTCACACAGAGACCCACAGACTCACGCAGAGACCCACAGACTCACACAGAGACCCACAGACTCACACAGACCCACAGACTCACGCAGAGACCCACAGACTCACACATAGACCCACAGACTCACGCAGAGACCCACAGACTCACGCAGAGACCCACAGACTCACGCAGAGACCCACAGACTCACACAGAGACCCACAGACTCACACAGAGACCCACAGACTCACGCAGAGACCCATAGACTCGCGCAGAGACCCACAGACTCACACATAGACCCACAGACTCACACAGAGACCCACAGACTCACAGACTCACAGAGACCCACAGACTCACACAGAGACCCACAGACTCACACAGAGACCCACAGACTCACACAGAGACCCATAGACTCACACAGAGACTCACAGGCTCACACAGAGACCCAGAGACTCACACAGAGACTCACAGACTCACACAAAGACCCATAGACTCACACAGAGACCCACAGACTCACGCATGGACCCACAGACTCACACATAGACCCACAGACTCACGCAGAGACCCACAGACTCACGCAGAGACCCACAGACTCACGCAGAGACCCACAGACTCACACAGACCCACAGACTCACGCAGAGACCCACAGACTCACGCATAGACCCACAGACTCACGCAGAGACCCACAGACTCACGCAGAGACCCACAGACTAACGCAGAGACCCACAGACTCACACAGAGACCCACAGACTCACACAGAGACCCACAGACTCACGCAGAGACCCACAGACTCACACAGAGACCTACAGACTCACACAGAGACCCACACTCACACAGAGACCCACAGACTCACACAGAGACCCACAGACTCGCACAGAGATCCACAGACTCGCACAGAGACCCATAGACTCGCGCAGAGACCCATAGACTCGCGCAGAGACCCACAGACTCGCAAAGAGACCCACAGACTCACGCAGAGACCCACAGACTCGCGCAGAGACCCACAGACTCACGCAGAGACCCACAGACTCACGCAGAGACCCACAGACTCACGCAGAGACCCACAGACTCACACAGTGACCCACAGACTCACACAGAGACCCACAGACTCGCGCAGAGACCCACAGACTTACACTGAAACCCACAGACTCACACAGAGACCCACAGACTCACGCAGAGACCCACAGACTCACGCAGAGACCCACAGACTTACACATAGACCCACAGACTCACACAGAGACCCACAGACTCACGCAGAGACCCACAGACTCACACAGAGACCCACAGACTCACACAGAGACCCACAGACTCACGCAGAGACCCACAGACTCACGCAGAGACCCACAGACTCACGCAGAGACCCACAGACTCACGCAGAGACGCACAGACTCACACAGAGACCCATAGACTCACACAGAGACCCACAGACTCACGCAGAGACCCACAGACTCACGCAGAGACCCACACTCACACAGAGACCCACAGACTCACACAGAGACCCACAGACTCGCACAGAGATCCACAGACTCGCACAGAGACCCATAGACTCGCGCAGAGACCCATAGACTCGCGCAGAGACCCACAGACTCGCACAGAGACCCACAGACTCCCGCAAAGACCCACAGACTCGCGCAGAGACCCACAGACTCACGCAGAGACCCACAGACTCACGCAGAGACCCACAGACTCACACAGTGACCCACAGACTCACACAGAGACCCACAGACTCGCGCAGAGACCCACAGACTCGCGCAGAGACCCACAGACTTACACTGAAACCCACAGACTCACGCAGAGACCCACAGACTCACACAGAGACCCACAAACTCGCACAGAGACCCACAGACTCGCGCAGAGACCCACAGACTCGCGCAGAGACCCACAGACTCGCGCAGAGACCCACATACTCACGCAGAGACCCACAGACTCGCGCAGAGACCCACAGACTCGCGCAGAGACCCACAGACTCACGCAGAGACCCACAGACTCACGCAGAGACCCACAGACTCACACATAGACCCACAGACTCACGCAGAGACCCACAGACTCACACATAGACCCACAGACTCACGCAGAGACCCACAGACTCACGCAGAGACCCACAGACTCACGCAGACACCCACAGACTCACTCAGAGACCCACAGACTCACACAGAGACCCACAGACTCGCGCAGAGACCCATAGACTCGCGCAGAGACCCACAGACTCGCACAGAGAGCCACAGACTCGCGCAGAGACCCACAGACTCGCGCAGAGACCCACAGACTCGCGCAGAGACCCACAGACTCGCGCAGAGATCCACAGACTCGCGCAGAGACCCACAGACTCACGCAGAGACCCACAGACTCACACATAGACCCACAGACTCACACAGAGACCCACAGACTCACTCAGAGACCCACAGACTCACACAGAGACCCACAGACTCACACATAGACCCACAGACTCACGCAGAGACCCACAGACTCACGCATAGACCCACAGACTCACGCAGAGACCCACAGACTCACGCAGAGACCCACAGACTCACGCAGAGACCCACAGACTCACGCAGAGACCCACAGACTCACGCAGAGACCCACAGACTCACGCAGAGACCCACAGACTCACACAGAGACCTACAGACTCACACAGAGACCCACACTCACACAGAGACCCACAGACTCACACAGAGACCCACAGACTCACACAGAGACCCACAGACTCGCACAGAGATCCACAGACTCGCACAGAGACCCACAGACTCGCACAGAGACCCACAGACTCACACAGAGACCTACAGACTCACGCAGAGACCCACAGACTCGCACAGAGACCCACAGACTCACACAGAGACCCACAGACTCGCACAGAGACCCACAGACTCGCACAGAGACCCACAGACTCACGCAGAGACCCACAGACTCACACAGAGACCCACAGACTCACGCAGAGACCCACAGACTCACACATAGACCCACAGACTCACACAGAGACCCACAGACTCACGCAGAGACCCACAGACTCACACAGAGACCCACAGACTCACACAGACCCACAGACTCACACATAGACCCACAGACTCACGCTGAGACCCACAGACTCACGCAGAGACCCACAGACTCACGCAGAGACCCACAGACTCACGCAGAGACCCACAGACTCACACAGAGACCCACAGACTCACACAGAGACCCACAGACTCACGCAGAGACCCACAGACTCACACAGAGACCTACAGACTCACACAGAGACCCACACTCACACAGAGACCCACAGACACACAGAGACCCACAGACTCACACAGAGATCCACAGACTCGCACAGAGACCCATAGACTCGCGCAGAGACCAATAGACTCGCGCAGAGACCCACAGACTCGCACAGAGACCCACAGACTCACGCAGAGACCCACAGACTCGCACAGAGATCCACAGACTCGCACAGAGACCCACAGACTCGCACAGAGACCCACAGACTCACACAGAGACCTACAGACTCACGCAGAGACCCACAGACTCGCACAGAGACCCACAGACTCACACAGAGACCCACAGACTCGCACAGAGACCCACAGACTCGCACAGAGACCCACAGACTCACGCAGAGACCCACAGACTCACACAGAGACCCACAGACTCACGCAGAGACCCACAGACTCACACATAGACCCACAGACTCACACAGAGACCCACAGACTCACGCAGAGACCCACAGACTCACACAGAGACCCACAGACTCACACAGACCCACAGACTCACACATAGACCCACAGACTCACGCTGAGACCCACAGACTCACGCAGAGACCCACAGACTCACGCAGAGACCCACAGACTCACGCAGAGACCCACAGACTCACACAGAGACCCACAGACTCACACAGAGACCCACAGACTCACGCAGAGACCCACAGACTCACACAGAGACCTACAGACTCACACAGAGACCCACACTCACACAGAGACCCACAGACACACAGAGACCCACAGACTCACACAGAGATCCACAGACTCGCACAGAGACCCATAGACTCGCGCAGAGACCCATAGACTCGCGCAGAGACCCACAGACTGGCACAGAGACCCACAGACTCACGCAGAGACCCACAGACTCGTGCAGAGACCCA